TGTGGAGGTGGCAAGAAGTCTTATGGTGTGTGCTTTAGTTCCTATTCATTTCTGGGGGGATGTAGTTCTCACACCTATGCATTTAATTAACCGTGTCCTTTCACATACTTTGGGGTTTAAGGTTCCATTTGTTCTTCTTTTTCCGGATGGGGAGTTGTTTCATATACCTTTGAGGGTTTTTGGGTGTGTTTCCTTTGTTCACATTCTTGGCCCTCACTGCAAGAAATTAGATCCTAAGGCCAAGAGAATGTGTTTTCCTTGGGTATGCTCAAAACCAAAAGGGGTATTGTTGTTATGATCCTGTGTTGGGGAGCAGATTTGTCACTATGGATGTTACCTTTTTTGAGTCTGCTTTCTTTTTCTCTAGTGGTTCTCCTCAAGGGAGAGTTTTGGGGAGAACTCACAGTTTGTTCCTCTTCTTGTGCCTCCTTCTCCATCAACTTTACCCTTAGCACCTCCGTCAGTTCCATTACCTGATCCACTACGGGCAGCCACACAACACTATTAGTGTTGCTACCAAAGAGGGTTGACCCCACACATGCTCAACTAGAAAAACTTGCACCACTCTCTATCAGTCCTTCTGAGTTCCAAATTTGGCAGATATAGTTCCAAGTATTCCCCTTGAGCCTAACCATGTTATTTTTCCTGATGATAATGCTCATGTACCTAGCACTATTGTTGCAGCTGATCCCATTGACCTTGATCTTCCCATTGCACTTCGCAAAGGGTAGAGAAAGTGTACTACCCATTGCATCTCACACCATCTCTCTTATAATGCCTTATCATCCTTCTAACGGGCCTTCCTTTCTTCCTTGGATTCTGTGTTTATACCCAGGAATGTTACTAAAGCTCTTTCCAAACCTGAGTGGAAAACATCTGTGCAAGAAGAGATGGAAGCATTGGTTAAGAACCAGACTTGGGAGATAGTTGATCCTCCTCCAGACAAGGAGACAGTTGGATGTAGATGGGTGTTCACTATAAACAAGGATGATGGCAGTATATAGAGGTACAAGGCAAGGTTGGTTGCAAAAGGGTATACACAGACCTATGGTGTTGATTATCTGGAGACCTTTGCATTGGTTGCTGAGATGGGTTCAGTTTGAATACTCTTGTCTCTAGCAGTCACCTATTCATGGCCCCTATTTCAGCTTTATGTTAAAAATGCGTTTCTTAATGGTGATTTGTAGGAGGTATATATGGACATCCCATCTGTTTTTTTATAAAAATGTTGGTAAAGGAAAGGTTCGTAAGGTGAAAAAATCATTGTATGGTTTGAAATAGTCACCAAGGGCATGGTTTGACAGGTTCAAAGGGGCACTTATCCATTTTGGGCACACACAAACCCAGTCTGATCATACCCTTTTTGTGAAAAGGAGAGATGCACTTGTGTCAATTCTGATTGTGTTTGTGGATGATATAGTAGTTATAGGAAATGATCTGAAGGAGATTGATGTTCTCAAGAATTCATTACAACAAGAGTTTGAGATCAAAGATCTTGGTGAGCTAAAATACTTCCTGGGGATTGAGGTTGCAAGATCCAATATGGGATTTTCATCTCTCAGAGGAAGTATGTACTGGACCTACTACGGGAGACTGGGAAGTTGGGAAGCAAACCAACTGATACTCCTATTGACTCAAATCATAGAATTAATGTTGTGGATGGTGAGTTGGTTAAGGATGTGGGTATATATCAGAGAATGGTAGGTTGGCTATTATATTTGTGTATGACATGTCCGGATATCTCCTATGCTATTAGTGTTGTGAGTCAGTACATGCATGCACCTCGGGTTCAAATTGGGAAGCCATTGAAAGAATACTTGCATACCTGAAGAAGCACTCCGAAAGTGGTATTCTTTTCACAGACCATGAAAATATGAAACTGGAGTCATATACAGATGTAGATTGGGCAGGTCGCTTAGATGACAGGAGGTCTACATCAGGGGTATGTACCTTTGTGGGTGGAAACTTGATTTCATGGAAGAGTAAAAAACAAGCAGTTATGGCTAGATCAAGTGTAGAGGCTGAATATAGATCCATGGCTCATGGTGTTTCATAACTACTTTGGGTTAGGTCCCTTTGA